TGATGGCAGAAAAGGGTCAAGTCTAACACTTCTTTTTATCTTCAGGGCACTGAGTAGGTGCTCAGAGGGTGCTTACTACCTGACTGGGTAGTGCAGGGTCAGGCGGCTGTAGGTTTGCCAAAGGATCATTGCCTAGCAGGCCTGAACCAGAGGGCTGCCTATTGGAAAGGGCAGATAGATGGGATCAGAACAGGCTGTGAAAACACAGAGAGAAGGCAGGTCAGAGCAGACAAAAAGACAAATCCAGAGACTCAAGGTATTGAGAATAATTCCAGAACCCCCCTGGGACCATACTGCTTCCCATTGTGTGTGGATGACTGGGGGGTCACTGCCTGTCACCTGTAATCATGAGGAACTGAAGCTGCCAGACGCCTGATGAGATAGGAGGAGGAGGATGACTAGTGGGATGGCAGCGAGGCAAACCAGTGGGTTCTTTTCTCGTTGTGATGGGTTCTGACTGCAGCAGCCAAGGTGATCATGTGCCCGTCTGTTGATGGTGGAGATGGCCAAAGGTGCCTACTCACCATTTTTGTTGCTGTCTTTCTAGGTCCCATGCATAGGCAAGAGCTAAAGTCAGTACCATTTGATTCCAGGCTAAACTCTTTTGTATTCTGTGGGAGAACAGTATCCCTGAGGTTATATCTTTCTCTCTGTATCTATATCTGTATCTCCTCTAACTCACGTGAAGTGACCATGACATTTACTGTTCTCAGTGGTTAAAGTGGTCTGTACAGCAGACAGGGGATGAGAAAGAGTTCATTGTCTCAGTTTCGTGTATATAATTCTGTGTAACATACCATCCCAAAACTTAGCACTTATTATTTCTCAGGAGTTTGAGGGTTGACTAGAAGTTCTTTTGCTGGCCTTCTTTGGGTGTCTTGTGTGGCTGTGTTTAATCGGTAGATGGGCTGACTAGAAGATTCAGGAGAGCCTGTCTGACATGCTGGGGCCTGGGTGCTGTTTGTTGGCTGAAGTGCACTCCTGCACGACTCAGGTAGCCCCCATGTCCCTCACTCATTCATCCTCTAGGGCCCCACCCTGTGATGCTTCTGTCCAGTGGAATAGCCTGGACTTCCTCATAGCATGTCACCTGGGTTCCCAGAATGTAAAGGAGGAGCCACTAGGACAAGACCTGAGCCTGGAACTGGCCCTGTGCACCTTCTATCACCTTTGATTGGACAAGTAAGGCACAGAGTCAGCCCAGATTCCAGAGGGGAGAGTTCCCACTTTTTGATGGGAGAAGCAGCGTGTCATTCGAGGCTATTTTTAATCTAACACATCTTCTTTCAAAACTAATCATCGGCGAAGGAGAGAAATGTATTAATGCTTATCTGGTAGATTGTTGTGAGGATTAAATGAGATCCATACAAACCCAGCATTCAGGGAAGGTCAGTGAATGGCTATATTCCTCCTGATGTGAGGACCAATTCTCATGGGCAAAGGCTGTTTCCAGGAAGCGGTAATGCAAGGGCATAGCATCTTTCTGTTGATTGTACTTTAGTTTAATCTCCAAATGGGGAATAAATGAGGCAACATATGCTAATCTGCTTCCAGCAGTGCCTGGGACATGGTCACCGTTCAATTAACATGAACTATTATTACTATTATCGCTATGATCGTTGAATGGCAATGATTCCCCAAGACCAAACAACTTCCCAATTTACATGCAAACCACCTTAGTGATTATGAACAACCTTCTTCCTATTTTACTTTTTACCTTTGTGTATCAGAATCTTAGAGGTGTTCAGAATGTTAGAGATTATTTAGAACAATTTCTCCATTTCACAGAAAGAAATACAAAGCCAGCTCTGGGCAGGGGACTTGTACAGAGCACATCCTCTTCTTGGAACTGTGAGTAACAAACTGATCTCTTCGATGGCAGTTGTCTCCCGATCTGTTTGCTTCCACATCCTGAATAATAATAAAACCTACATTTTTAAACAGGGAATAAATACATCATCATGTTACAGACTTGTTATATGAAAGGGTGGCAGTTTACCCGCTACTGGGAAAAAACCTCTTGTTAGTGGTTTAATTATATTTGTGTATCTGCCTGTGGGAATGTAAGATACTTCAGGACTGGGATAGAGTATGTGTTTGTACTGAGCCATCTATACTTGCCATGCCAAGCGTTGTCAGATTTCAGAAACTTTTAAAAAACTTGATTCACTAATTTTATTTATTTTTGCGCAAAATAAACTTCCCCAGAGAGTCCTCCTGCAATCTTATTTTAAGTTTCATGTTTTGTTAACTGAGCTGATTAGCCTTAATTTAACAGCAGCACTGGATTCAAAGCACCCTACCCTGATGGAGAATTCCTGGCCCACTCCAGGTCCCTTTCTCTCTCCTTAGGGACCCCCTGTGTTGGGCTCTGTCTGGGCATGTCTGCTTTCCACGCTCAGCACTCAGCACAGCCCACCTCCTCTTAGAAGCCAGCTTTGACCTCTCCACCCAGAGGACCTGCCTGTTTGAGTTCAAGCACTCTCTGAATTCTATTTCTTATCTTCCCCCCAATACTTCCCAGGCGGCAGGGTTGCAACAAGTGTTTATCAGTCACCAAGCTGCTTCCTTCTTGTCGCTTCCCATTCCAGCCCCAATCCTAGCCAGGGCAGCTTCATTCTACCAGGGGTCCACATGGTGCAAGTGGGGACAAACCAACTGCCCAGGAAGCATCTTACAGTTTTCATTTCAAAAATCTCTCTTGATAAAAAATTGCCTACAGCCTCTGCTGGTCACTGGTCACACTGATTGTGTTGATCCTTTTGGATTTCTACAAGCATATTTGTCAGAAACAAGAGCCTCTCAAGTCCAAGCTCCCCCTGCCAGTGTCCTCACCCAAACTCTCACAGTTGCTTCTCACTGGGGCCTCGGGCTCACCGGCCCAGCAAGTTTTAGACTTCAGGCTGTCTTTGGGCTTCGTGGGTGCCTTCTACTGTTTATGGCGAAGGGGGACTGATGTGAGCTCTAACAGGCAGGATTCCTGCTAGGTGGAAGATTCTCCCTCTAGAGCAGGCAGCTGGCAGCAATTGCTGAAGGCTCCTCCCAGAGGGACCCCCGTGGTATTCCAAGGTTGTCGCAATGGGGGCCTCTGTGAAACTGAGGTCAGAAAAGGTGCAAATCTCATCTGTCACTGCTGAAACCACAGCTTCCTATTTGCCATGTGAGTCAGTCCAGTTTTTTATTTATTTATTTATTTTTGAGACAGAGTCTCACTCTGTCACCCTGGGTAGAGTGCTGTGGCATCATAACTCACAGCAACCTCAGTCTCTTGGCTCGAGCGATCATTCTATCTCAGCCTCCCTAGTAGCTGGGACTACAGGGGCCTGCCACCATGCCTGGCTAGTTTTTCTATTTTTAGTAGAGGCTGGGTCTCCCTCTTTATTCAGGCTGGTCTTGAACTCCTGTGCTCAAGTGATCCAGCTGCCTTGACCTCCCAGACTGCCAGGATTATAGGTGTGAGCCACTGGGCCCGACTGGTCCAGTTTTCTTTAAAAACACTTTTTTTTTTTTTGAAGATTAAACTTTTAATTTTGAGATAGTTGTAGATACCCATGTGGTTTTAAGAAATAATTCAAGGAGAGCCCTGGTATAGTGTGTCAAGTCCCCGCAGTGGTCTCAGTTCCCCACTGCAAACTGAGAGCACAAATAGGACATGGATGCCCCTACAGCAGGGTTGGGGCAGGGTGTCCCTGGGGGGAGGGCAGAGGTCCCCACTCAGCCTCCATGGGCACCTGAGTGTGTCCTTCTCATTTCTTCTGGCCTTCCAGGTAGTCTGCACTGATGAAGTGTGGAGGGTTCATTATCTCCCAATGGGGATGGAAGTCTCAGCTGCCCACTGGCCTCTCTGCCACTACCCTCTGATGTGGCGTCTGGGGCACCTAGTTACAGCCTGGTGAAGGTGGAGTCCAGGCTCTGACTTGGTGGTCACCGGCGTAGGTGGGGCCACAGGTTTTTCAGTGGTGTTTGGCTGGAGTAGAGCAGTTACTGTCTACTAGTCTGTTATTCTAGGGTGCCCATTTCCTGGTCCCTTGCCTTTGGAGAACAGGCTTTTGTTGGGGCTTTTTGGGCTGTGCCTGTTGGCATTTCCAGGTCACTAGGTACATCAGCAACAAATCTGGAAGATGTGAGCCATAAGCAAATCCAGGGCCCATCCGTCTGGCCTGCCTTTTTCTTGTACTCTTCAGATTCTTCTTATTTATGATGTCCAGAGTTTTTAGTTGACTTAGCTGGAGGAATAGGAAAAAGTACATTGACTCCATCCTTTTGAAAGCAGACGTGCCCAGGTATCTTTTTCTTTTTTAAACATGAAATCCCATGATCTGTCTCTTGCTGACCTCTCTGACACTCTTGCTTCATGCCTGAAAGACTGAATAAACAAACGGACAATGATCAGACCATATAGAAAAATAGACTGCAACAACCTGTCCAGGAGACCTGCTCTTGATCTTCAGTGAGCAACCTAGGAAGCCAGCCTGCCAAAGGTCAGACTCACCCCAGGCTGGGCTGCCCTCTCTGGTGATAATCTAGGCAGTTAAACAATGACTTCTGTATCAGTTAGCCCCCATTGCCTACGACTTGATTAATAACTGACAGCTTTCCTTTGGTCCCTGCTTCTAACTTAGCACCAGCCAGAGAAAGTCAAGTATGCATCCTAACTTATCACACAGGACACCTGCTTTTAGTTAGCCCAGTTGGAGCTTCCCCAGGCCAACAGCCTCCAGCCCAAGCACACCGGAAGCCTTTCCTTTTTCCTGTTACAAAGCCCTCCCACTCCTCTGCCTTTGAGTCTCTGCCAAAACCTAAGTGGTGGTGGCTGACTCCCTTGGTATGGCAACTCTGAATAAGCAGTCTTTGCTTTTTTCATTTGGTTGGTCTTAGCTCCTTTCTATACTGTCTTTCTAGGTGGGAGCTTACTGAACCCCACCCCCTTCTTGAATTTAACTGTTTTTTTTTCTCTTGTGTGGGCCTGTAGTCGTTAATCTCCTAGTTTTAAATGAAAAAAAAATACAGAATGCTTCCCAAATTTGTGTGTCATCCTTTCACAGGGGCCATGCCAATCTATTCTCTATCATTCCAATTTTAGTGTATGTGCTGCCAAGGTTAGCACCATATGGCTAATTTTGAAAGTTTTTGTAGAGGTGGGGTCTCACTATATTGCCCAGGCTGGTCTCAAACTCCTGGGCCCAAGTGATCCTCCCGTCTTGGCCTTCCAAAATGCTAGGATTATGGGTGTGTACTTTACCATGCCTGGCCTATGTTAAACAATTTCTTATCAAATAGAGGACATGAAACATAATAGAACTTCTTTTGATGACTCAGGGTTATCATTATAAGCATCCGTCATGGCATTCATTCATTCATTCAACAAATGCTGATTGACCATCTAGTTTCTATTAGCACTGCGCTTGTGCTGAGAAATAAAATGTAGTAGTGAATACTCATCCCTGATGGTTATGTTCATCAAGAAATACTCTCAGAGCACTTACTTTATGTAGGCAAAGAACCCCCTGCTTCCTTTAATAGATGGTTTTCCCAGAGAAAATAGAGGACATTTATATGTCAGTGAATGAACTTCCCTGCTGTGGACTCAGTCATGATCTCCATACAAAATGTCCTATCCTGCCTTAGAGAAAGAAATGCTTATCTCTGTAGAGAAAGAAGAGTTCCATCTCCATTTGAAAGCTCTCCTTCTCATCTGGTGTAGAAATCATCCTTCTTCCTCCACTCACACCTTGACCTTATGTGAATCCCCTCTTCTTTGATACCATAGTTCCCCCTCCACTGACTCCTCCTCTTAGACTGTAGGCGCAACTCTGAACTGAACAAAACAAAAATGCTTCCCTTCAATGTCATCACCATCTCCAGCTACTGCCTTGTTTTCCTGATTTTCTGTGGGAGGGGGATATCTACATTTCCCATGGAAAGGGGACTTAAGTGAAGGGAAATGCCTACATTTCCCATCGTCCTTATCGAGGTCAATTTTCTTAATCATTGAACAGTGACTTTTGGCTTGAGTTTCTACCCAAAGCTGCTCTCACCACGGTTGCCTGTAACCTCCTCAGAGTTCTATGCAAAGGGCATATTTTTGTTTTCTTGGCTTCTATAAACCCTAGCTCAGTAAACCACCATCTTCCTCTTAAACCTTTCATTTTCTTGGCTTCTATAACACTATTCACTTCTGATTTTTCTCATCTCATTGCTTTCCCTCAGTTTCTTGGTGTTTATTTTTATCCTCTTACCTATGTCTTAAATATTTGTATTAAAGCATGATACCTCTTTAAAATTTTTTTTATTGTGGTAAAATATACATGCCACGGAACTTCCCATTTTAACTGTTTTTAGCGTCCAGGGGAGTGGCACTGAGCACGTCCACACTGCTGCACAGTCATCGCCACCCTGCATGTCTGATCCATCCCGTGATATTAACAATGCTCATATTTCCATCATTTGTTCAAACTCCTGTTCTGAGCTCTGACAACTATTCCTGGCCTGGGGACGGTTCTCCAACGTACACAGTCTCTTTGTTGTTGGACTTTATAAAGAGACTTTCTGTGTAACATTGTCACCTGATTAACCTTTAGGCCTGCAAAAAAAAAAAAAAAAGGGAATATCAAAGCAGTAATATTTTCAGCTGTTTTCCACTGAAGGGAGCATCCATCATAGAAATGTCTTTGACTCCGGTTTGGTTACTGCACCAACAATTGAGTATAACTTTCTGAGTTAGAGGAAGATAATGGTTTCTTGGGGTCATAAAGCTGTCAGGAGGAGGGAGACTTTCATCTAACTTGATAAAAAATGTGAAAGCATTGGGTGGCGGCACAAGGACATTGAGGGGATGGCAACATCTGGAGAATTGAGAGACCTAAACACTCTTATGATTTATGGCCCTCAGAGAAATGCACTGAGCCAGGAGCCTGGAAAACCTGGGTTCTGTTCTCCTCCCCATTGCTGACTTCCAGAGTGACCTTGGGCAAGTTGCCTGAACTTTCTTTGCTGCTTTTATTTACTCCGTAGGTGAGGATGATAATCACATGGGCATTTACCCACTTTTTAACCCACAGAGAGTTTTTAGCTTTCTCTCTGTCTCTTTTGGTAGATAAAAGAGACACCCTTTCTGAAGCTGTTACATAAATTCAGGGTCTTATTTTCATCATACATACACACATTTATTTATTTACTTATTTACAAAGAGCTCTAATTTATTTTATGAGGAATTCATTGGACCTGAGATGCAAAGAAGTTGAATGGGAAGGCCATGTCAATTTTAAAAAGAGAAAGAAGGGGTACCTCAGAGAAATGGACACTTGTCGATCAGAACTTTAAGCTCTTATGAATTACACTGACTTTTCTCTTGTTTAATCACAGGCTCACAGGACAAAAGATAAACTTTGCAAACGAAATCAGAGAACCTTGAAAATAAAACTATTTGTATTTCATTATTGGTGAGTGGATCACGTCCTCTGTGGAACAGCAGTGAAGCGTCCACAGTCCCCTTGGGTGGCAAAGTGGAGCACTGGCAGGGTTGAGGCCCGACTCAGCTCCCTTCTTTATGCAAACTTCCCAAATCACCATGCCATCACCTACCTCAGTACTGTCACGTCTTATCACCTGTGGTGCTTATTTCCAGTTATATCCTATTTTTTGAAATTGTTTTCTTTCATTGTAATTTGACTTTTAAGGGGTGGCGCATTCATTCAATTCATTTATTTCAATCCACCAATATTAAGTCCCTGTGCTAGCTTTGGAGATACAGGGAAGTGTGCACTGGTGAGGTTTCCGCCTTTATTGACCTTGGCATTGGAAGGGGATGTAGAGGTCAAAGTATTGCAGCTGTTGGACTGCAATGGTGGTAAGTGCTAAGAAGAGAAAGCTCTAGGAGCTGTGCCACCAGCAGTGATTGTCCTGTAAATTATTTCATCTGATGTCATAACAGCTCTCAACCCTCTCCTTTTATCTTCCTGAGGACACTCCAGTCTGCCCCACAAACTCCCTTGCTGTGCTGAGTGTACTTTTTGATTTTTAATTTGTTTAAGTTTTTCATTTTTAATTGTGGTAATATATATTACAGATACCATTGAACCTTTTTACAGTTCAGTAGTGTTAGGGGTATTCTTATGGTGGAAAAATCTCTAGGACTTTTTCACCTTGCAAAACCGAAACTCTGTATTGATTAAACAACTCTCCGCTTCCCAGTTCCCCAGCCCTTGGTACCCATCATTCCGCTTTCTCTCTCTGTGGTCTTGACCACTCTCGGTACCTCATGTAAGTGAACTGTGGCTTATTTCACTTAGCCTGATGTCTTCAAAATTCATCCATGTTGTAGTATGTGTCCAGCTTTTCTTTCTCTTTCAGGCTGAGTAATATTCCTCTGCAGGTGATCCTGTAAGTTGTTTATCCATTTGTTATTGGACACCAGGGTTGCCGCTGTCTCTTGGCTATTGTGAATAATGTGGCTGTGAATGTGAGTGTGTAAATATCTCTTCAAGACTCTGCTTTCATGGGTATATACCCAGAAGTGGAATTGTTGGATCATATTATAATTCTATTTTTAATTTTTGGTGAATGTGTGTGTTCCTGTTTTGACTACAGCCACACTGTCCCTAGCCAGTGGCCAATACAGGGTCTGTCTGATTTGTATTTGTTTATTTTTTTCTCCCTTAGGGCTATCGTGTCAAAATCATGTTCACTTACTTTTATTCTTTTCCCTTTCCTAGTTCAGCCAGAATTTACCTACGTTCCCTAAGATAATTTCTTTGACTAACGGACGTATACAATGTCTTCTCTGGTCCTTAATTCATGAAATCACAGATCAGTAACTATGGAAAATAAATGAACATAAGATTGTCAGTGACAACTTGACTGTCAAGGGAAATAAAAGATCTTTGTTGGAAACAAAATGTAGGAATCATAAATGACAAAAAAGAACCAGTACCAGCAACCTCAAAGCCCTTAGAATATCCACGACTTCCTCCTCAGAGCCTCCACAAGTTTACCTCGCTCTCCAACCTGCTTTTAATTAGTTCTTCTTTTCCTAAAACTTCAGCACTCAAGATAATGAAAAAAGCTATTTCTTATTCAACCCTCTTGTTTTTCTGTGCTGTTTCATTACCCATTTTAAAACATTCTGTTTTCTACTATTTTTCATCGCAAAGGTACAGAATTTCAATTACATGAAGATCCCTTCCAACCCTGGAATTCAATAATTTTATATTACAGAACAAGTAGGACTTTTGATGAAGTCAAAGTACTATCTAACTTAAGAACTTAACACAGTTGATGACATCTTTTTTCTCTATGGGGAAATCTTCCTTGAGGCTTCAATTCTAACCAGCTGATAAATAAATACACATTTATAATACAATTCTTTGGTCCGTAGGACCATCCAGATTATAGACTCTTTTTTGGAACTGATTGTTTTACACAAATTCACCGCTTCTAAGTGACCATCAGCTGAAGGACTGACAGAGGGAGGTCCTCCATTCTCTCTGGGCAATTCGTTCCAGACAGTGCTTTGCAGCTTTGTGTGTCATCCTTACCGCAGCTGAAATAAATTTTTACTTACTGTGTCCTGTTTTAAACTAGAAGCAGCTGATTGTCATCATCATTTTAAATGTAGTTAGTTTTTCTTTTAAAAAAGTATGTAATGCCAACCATACAGAAAGGTGCAGAGAATAATTATGTGACCACCTTATTTATTTATTTAGACAGAGCCTCACTATGTTGCCCTCGGTAGAGTGCTGTGGCATCACAGCTCACAACAAACTCAAACTCTTGGGCTCAAGTGATTCTCTTGCCTCAGCCTCCTAAGTACCTCGGACTACAGGCACCCGCCACAATGCCTGGATATTTTTTGGTTGTAGTTGTCATTGTTTGGCAGGCCCAAGTTGGTTTTGAACCTGACCACTGAGCTACAGGTGCCAAGCCTGTTTTTTATTATTTTTTTTGAGACAGAGTCTTATTATGTTGCCCTCAGTAGAGTGCTGTGGCATCACAGCCACCTCCAGCTCTTGGGCTTAAGAGTTCACAGCCACCTCCAGCTCTTGGGCTTAAGCAATTCTCTTGCTGTAGCCTCTCAAGTAGCTGGGACTATAGGCGCTGGCCACAACA